GACTGCATCCATTATTTTTCGTCCTCCCCCTCCTCTTTTCCGAACATAGATGGACTCGTCCATTTTGAACAAACTGTCAAATCGCTCTCCGTGGTGCTAACGTTAAAAAAACGCCACTTTTTTCAAAATGTATTGCTGTGGTTTTCACACCTGATAATGCAGTCGAAACGTCGTGAGAATTTTATTGTTTTATATTTTAATTATTTTATTGTTTGCCTTCTATGTGGTGACTTTACCGAAAGAACCATCATTAAGTAAGCTATTTGGTGTACCACAACAGCATGGCATTACGTGACAGAAAATACTACTCAGTGGTATATGCCACATAATAATGTTTGTTGTTTTTCGATTTAAAGCTTTCGTGACTGCAGGGATTCATATTATTGGTTCTTCCGGTAAAATCACGTAGAAGGGAAATAATAAAAATAAACCAATAGAATTCTCAATTTTCTTGCTGTGGTTTTCACACCTGATGATGATTGCTTGTGTTGCAATCGAAACGTCGTGAAAATTTAATTATTTTTTTATTCTATCATTTTCCTTCTACGTGACTTTACCGAAAGAACCAAGAATAACAATATTTGTTATTGTTTATACCGGCACAGGTTATAATTAGTGGCGTGTCAAACGGTGTTAGACCAGAGGACGCCAAAAAGCGTTGTCTCTGGTGTGGACCAATCAGTTTCAAGGACAATGCATATATTATCAGAGTATGTTTTTTTTGCATTCTGACCACAAGCATTGTGATTAATGTAAAAGTTTTCAGCTTGGTGTTTTAACATCTTAACACCTGTTTTTTTTCCAGAAACAAAAAAAACCTATTATCATATTTTGGTAGTGGCAAAGGAGATCCCATGATGTAATTAATCCATTGTCAAGTCCTAAGCGCCGGCTCATTTCAACAATAGCTCTTATCAATTGCCTTCGCAACTCGGCCCACTGTTCCCCTGATTGTGTGAATTGGTGGCGCTGATTGGCTGAATGCGCCTTGCTTGCTTTTATAGAAGCTCGCATTGAGATGTGACCAATTCGCTTTCGCTTTTCATTCCAATTCCCGAAAATCACACACCCGGAAGGTGCCACAATTGGAAGCCACATGACAATTCAGCATCTGGCATTCTTCATCACAAATACAGGGTTCATAAAGGAGGCATTTCAGTTAAGGTTTGATAAATCAAATTTAACATCGCGTGTTCAATATAAAAAGCAGAAAGAAGAGTGCAATACTTTGCTTCTAGAAATGTGTGAATGAATGCAATACTATTTTCAACAAGAGGTCAAAAAAAGAAGCGATATTACCACTGGAGGAAATCCCTCCACCCCGCACCCCCCAAAAAAAATATAAGAGCCGAGGGTCGGGGTAATTTCGGTAAGAAAATAATAATTAGAATTTAAGTCCGCAGTACCGATTCACGCACACGTCCGTCGCATTAATCAGAGTTGAGCCTAATTAGCCAAAATGAGTGAACGGGGCTTCCCTTTAATGTAAAACAGCTGCCCCATTTATCCATCGCACATGTGAGAACATACGATTATAGCAACACACACACACACGCGCGCGCTCGTTATACCTACCATGCTGCAGGCATCGCATTACTACGTTTTAATCTCTGCGCCTTCTTTTTAAGGCCCTCCATATTTTGCTTGTCCCCTCCATGCGTGTGCTCCTTAGTTATTCCTTTCATAAACATTGGCCAGGTGGAGGAGTCTTTTTGTTTTTCTTTTCCAGAGGCAGTTTGCGGACGGAGCAAAGGCTGAGCTCTCTTAACCGAAATGGCGGGGGGAAAGAAAATAAACGCTGCTTTTGGGAAATGAAATTGCAGCGTCTTGATAATACAGATTGTACATAAAACAATTAAGTCAATATATGAAAAAGAAAAAAAATACTACAAGGAATGTAACAGTCGTGAAAATAGCTAAAGCTAAACATCAGCTATTCAATGGTTGTATAATCGACCTCTCTGGCTGCTCTGTGTGCTCTGAAGGGCGATTGCCCAATAACGTTGCCGATTAATAAACGCGACTATTTTTTTTTATTTCATCAGGTAAGGCCTACTGAGTTCTAGAGCTCTTTATTCAGAAGTGACCTGGCCATAAATGATAGCTCAACGAAGTTGCTTATCTTGTGGAATTTTTGTTAGCAGCCAAATAGCCTTAAATGCGTGTTGGTCATTCTAAATGTGGAGGGAAAAAAACGGAGGACAAAAAAAATCCACACGACCACGGGGAGAGAGAAACGCAACCCCAAATATACAGCAGGCACCAGTGTCTGGATCGAACCCACTACCTCCTGTATACCAGGAGAGGTAGTAAGTATCTCACCCCCGTGGTGCCTAACATATACCTTTGTCTTTTATTGAGTATTGTGGCGTTTTTTTGTTTTCAATGTTACACTATGCTGCTACCTTATGTTGAATGTGAGCATGAAAATTGTATAAGAGTCCACTTTCAGTCTAAATATTAGCAGCTTCGTCGTGCAAGGAACAGTTGCACACGTTTACAATGGAACAATAGAACAATAGAACATGCCTCGGATAAGCTGTAAAAAATGGCTGCAATAACAGCAACGATTATGTGCATCACTTAAGAATTATCACACACATTTGCTTATTTACTGGGCACATCACTGAATGTAAGCATCATGTTATGCAATTAAAGATCATCCAAATCAGCGATTATTTATTTAAAGCAATATTTTTCAGCACACTGCTGCATATTGCATTTGCAGATTTCAATTTAAAGAGTGTTTTATTTCCCAATATGTGCGCAGTGAGAGAAGTGCCTCTAATTTATAAATAGTGCGTTCCACGTCGAGCTCAAAGAGAGGGGGGGGGGGCGTGTCTTTGCGAACACAAATTAAGGGTTCTAAACAATATTTATATCGTTCTCATGGCGAGAATTCTTAACAAGAAAATTCAATGAGCCCAAACAAATCACTCCCGTGACGGCCTCGGAGAAATGTGCACGTTGATTTAGCAATAATGCCCTTCTTATTTTTGTCTTAACCAGAAGCCATTAACTGCCTCTTCGTTGAGAGTTCACGCAGCTGAAAAGAAATATCTTAAAGTGAAACGGAATGCAGAATCTTGCGTGCGCACGGCATCACCACATCCCTTGGAGAGAGAGAAAAAAACATCCCGGCTCTCTCCAGCCGCAGCTGTCATCGTGGCGCCAATGGCCGTGGACGTCAATCCCAGGCCGATACCAATCCCAGGCCGATACCAATCCCTCCAGATGTTTGATCAATGCGCTGACACATAGGGCCCAGACCATTACTGGGCTGGGCAGTTGAGGAGGAGGGGGGGGGAGGAGGGAGCAGTGGGGGGGAAGTGGGGGAAATGGAGGAGGAGGTAGGAGGAGGATGAGGAAAGGGTCAGAGGCATCAAGATGACACCAGGTGATGGCCACCCCCCATCGCCCACACGGCGGGCAGTGCTGACAGATACGTCCCGCGAAAAACAACTGAAACAACTGCCACGATGGACGCTAATGGCCAACCCAAACTCCATCCCTGCAACGAACATTCCAAGCACGTCAACAAGGTGCGTACATGCTTGCATGCACGCGTATGTCAGAAGCAAAGAGGAGAATGTTTAACCCCTTCCTAGATGTTTTGCAAGCATGCCATAGTTTTGCCTATCGCGTGGAATGAAATAAGGTATGCTCCTGCAAGCAGTTTTTCAGGGAATTTCGATATTACCCGATACGCAACTGGAATCCGAATGATGTTCTCATGTTTATCCATGCACGTGCATATGTTCGTGTGGCCATGATTGTACGTGTGGATGCAAGTGAGGAGCAGTGGGTGCAGTTGTTAGCGGACTCCACAATGCACCCGGTAACCAGAGTTCAAATCCTGGCCATGGGCAATATCGGTGGCGAGTGACACCTGGACAAGTCCTGGGCCTCCTCCAAGTCAATTCAGACTTACTTGAACAGCATACTGCAGTGCGTAAACATTCACACTGGGGAGACATGGCAACTAAGTGTGGTTCTGGGCACCCCTTCATGCACCTTGGTGGCCTTTACACAATGCCAGCTGTACAGGGTATCTTTGTACATGTATGGGGTGAGTAGAGGTGTAGTCGTCAGCTTACTCTATGATGCCATAATGACGTACGTTCGATTACAATTGATGAACATTATTTATTTTTCAGCGATTTTAACACGAACATCCCTGTTACAAATAAACATCCCTTTAGAAATTTACAATTGCTGCATAACGAACTTCACTCCTCCCCTCCCCGAATATTATCTTAAGGAAAGATGAGCAAGCCACAAATGTAAAACACGAACATTTAAACAATGTGCCACTCATAAAACCACCCCCTGCGATGGTCTGTAATGTTTCAGTTGTGATGTTATGCAAAGTGCTCAATTGTAACTGCTGCCTGTCCTTGTAAATTGCTAAACCATAATTGTATCACACCTGTCCTGCTCACGGGGAGAGGGGGGGGGTGGTGCATTTAACCTCGGGCGAATTCACAACGTCACACGCGCATCTCCGGTCGCACGGCATAAGTTTGCTTTCCTTTAAATCGAAATTTAATTTGCTTTCCTTGTTTTTTATTATCCATCCGACGACGTCGCACGAACAGCAGACGTACGCGCCAACCCGCTCACTTGACAATTTCAACGTCTGCTCGCGGAAAAAAAAATCCCACCTAATAATAACAACCATGCTCATTTGTAACGCGCACAGTTGTCACCTGCCCGAACGTAGCGTGGAGCCCAGCTCAGGGATCGGCTCAGCTCAAGTCAACTATAAAAAGATGTTAAGCTTTTACTGGTAGGAACGAAGTTGTAAACTGAGTGTACCAGCATGCAATAGATTAATGTGTCCGTCCGTCCGTCCCCTTTCAAAACTTTAACGAAGTGAAATCTCGTGTTGTTGGGGTGTAAAAATAAAATTGCGCAAAATTCCAATGTTCCTACCAGCCCACCCTGCAGGGACCTGTTACGCTGCACCCAATATGGCACGGGGACCCGCCGTGACTCACCTCTCTCCAGCACGAGAAGCTGCGCACTCGACTGGGCATTTCCGGCCTCGCTCTCGGCAATGCACTGATAAATGCCCTCGTCCGACCTCACCAGCCCCAGGATTTTGAGGTTGTGATCGTCCTGCGGATTGAAAGCATCACGAACGGGTTCAGAGACACGATGCAGAGGGGTGCGCTCGACGCAGTAATTTTGGGTGCCGGCATAGGTAATGAACGGTGGACGCGCAAAATGTATACACTTGCTAACGGATGTTTACGGGGTAAAATGAATTCTTTAGCACGTTCGAGTTATAGAAAGCACTATTCTAAGAAATTTCTGTGACTGCGAAAACAAACTTACAAGATGTGAGTGTGCGTCTATTGGGCCTTTGTGGACACAGAATATTATTACAATTGTTATTTGTTGTTGGACATTTCAAATGTATTGTACGCATAAACATTGCCAGGTACAATTCAGTAGTCAACAATATTAATGCAAAATATGGAAACTTCATGGGAATCAATGGAAAGAGATGGAAACAAATTCTGAATTGTGAATATCGAACTAATTTCTACTCATGAAGAACACAATCCAATTCATAAGTCACTATAATCTCAAAAAACCTGACCTTTAATTATAAACCCAATGCCATTGCATGCACTGTAGCAGCAGTTTTGTTCTGAGTTTACGCCATTCCTGCTGACTTCCTACGTTTTTAAAAGATGATGTAATTCATTGCTCATTCCCATTAGCACTACATGATCAACATACACATAGGAGACAGAATAATGCTAACGACATCAATTTTATCATGGTAAAAATTCAACGTGGAAGTTGTACATTTTGTAGTCATTCTACCGGACGTCCGTGAAACTACTGGACATCTGTGAAAAAGAGCCTCACAGCTCATCGGATTGCTCTAGTCTAAATAAAGATGCAGTTTCTGACGATAATTGGAAAGATTGCCAGTGGTCTACACTCGTAAACCGAAATCACCTCTCCGTGTCAACCATTAACGCTGCCCCATGATAGAAAAAGTGTGGAAGCGGTGGTGAAATCAGGTCGCCCGAGTTTGATTGCCAGACGTGGCTAACATCAGTACAGCGTGATATACGAGCTAGTTCAGGCCTCCCCCACCCCCCTTCATCAACCCGCACAGATCAACGTGGATGGTGGTGAATTATGGTGAAACACCCCCCCCCCGCCCCCAATGACTGACAGGGCATAGTGGTGGATTGACAAAGAGCTGCGTGTAACATTTAAAAGAAACGGTCTTTAATCATGAAATTATTATTATAAGTGACCTCGATTTCTCTCTCTCGGTAAAGGGCCTTTGCATTAACATGTTGGCGACTGGATTTTTTTCTGTAATACACCATGGTGTTAATGATGGTTGTCATAAGGCGTTTTGTTAGCCTGTTCTAAAACATCGCCGATTTGTGTAACTTTACCAATTCTGTTATTATACATTTTGACCCCCCCAAAAAATAAACTCTACACAAAATGAACGCAAGTCGCAGCACTTGTGCACTGTTTATTATAGTCACTGTGTAAGAGAAAGGTAATAAACGCAAACACTTGCATTCCAGAAATTGCGTTAATATTTCAAAACAAGGACAGTTTAATTGAAGCTTTATTTAAAATTGCTACTTGTGTTTTACTGAGATGACATCACCAACAAATTGGTCCAAATTCATGGCATTTTTTGAAAAGCCCAATCTTCAGAAACATTTTAAAATATTTACTTTGTGGGTATGTTTTATAATTATTAAATGAGTAACCATAATCCGATGGCGAGATTTATACATAACTACAGTGACATGAAATATAACTATAGTAAACCATAAACGAAATGAGACTGAGGCTAATACACCTCTTTGGAATTTGCAATATCCCATGCCCTACAGGAAGCATTTGCTAAATCATTTTTAAGCACACTTTAAATGGCTACCGAGTGTATAAATAGTGAAAGAAATCAATGGATAGTGAGTGTGAATAATAAGCTGTTAATCGTTAATTTACCCATGAAGCTCATTGCAATGTTCTACTGATGGTGCCGTGTGATAAACCAATTATGTCAAGATTGACAAATGGCTCAGAACATTACACACATTCAACACAATTAGATTACAGCCCCTAACAATGTTAAAGGTACAGTAGAACTGCTGTCTCTGTAAATAATTAACAGAATGGCTTTAAGTTCACAATATCAAGGCCCTAATGACATTCTCTTGGAGGGTACGGTAATTACAGTGATCTATTCTGTTACGTGAATTCATGCTTTAACAATGGCATGTGGCCAGATTCTTAAATGTGGTGATATGAGTGAAATGTGCTAATTTTAAATAAAATAAAAATGCCATGTTTCCATTTAACGATTGACAGAAAAATGTATTTGGAGATCCTGACCTATCCTGTGCCACATAGAGCAATATACAATGTACCTGCATTGATCGCTTACCAAAAAGTATTTTGTAACATCAAAACAAGGTTATCTTTTGAGATGAAAAAAATAATTCTTGCCTTGGAAGATAAAATTGTTACCATACTTCATGGAATTGGAGCTTAAGGGGTTTAAGCAAATTGAATTATATTTCTAACAAAAAAAATACAGCCGTCACCCAGCCAGTGGACTATTGATTAAAACTACCGAACTGTAAGAAGCTTCCCTTACTGCATACAAAAGGTTATACAAATGAAGGCAGTAAATGCATGGGGTTCGTATTATAAAACAAAAAAAATGGTTATTGACAATTAAAATAAGAGCAGGGGCAACAAAAAGAGAACTGAAAGAAATTACTTTTATATCAAGTTCTTTGTCTTCCCCTTTAAGAATCGCCCCATTCATTCGACTAGAATCGCAACAAATCTTACTCGCTGGAAGAAGGCAAGAGAGATGGAAGGAAATAAAGGAAGGGCCAGAGAGACTCGTACCACAATCTGGAAGTAGTCACTCGGGATAACAATGTCTCCATTCTTCACCCACTTGACGGTGGGCACGGGGTGGCCGGTCACGCTGCACGCCAGCACCACGTCCATGCCCTCGTAGGCGAGCGTGTCCCTCGGGCGCTTCGCAAACACCGGAGCGGCTGCAACGACAGCGGGGGTGGTTGAGAGGGGGGCGGTCATACAGATCGGTCGTTGTTCGTCATGTGGGGTGGGGGGGGGGGGTGCTCTCAAAAACGCATTGTCCATTTCACAGTGAGAATCGTTCAGAAACGTTCCATTCATTTGAAAAAAATATTTTTTTTTATTACAGAAGAAACGATCAACTACACACTGTTGCTCGGTGGTAGGCATTAACCGAATGCCCACTCATGGGTCCCAAGGACAACGTGGTGCATCGGCACCTTCACTGATACGTCAGTTGTTGCTGAACAGCGAACGCGCTCAAGCCCTGCGGCTAAAATCGCCGTGCATGTTACTTCGCGTTAGAATTCACGCGTCGGAGGCAATTCACGTCCTAACGCGTAAAAATTCCCAGAAACGTGGACTATCCCGGAGCGTTGCTTGGCGGCACACATTCGAGAGGCAAACGTGCATCACGTGAGTGGGCACCATCGTGTGATGATACCGGGCCATCTATACGCAAGCACAAGTCAGGAAGTCCGCCAAGGTGCGATGCGCCTTAGCTAAACTCCATTCGCGTTCTTAGAAGTCGACGTCAAATTATCCCATTGATAATTCTACTGAGCAATATAACGAAACTTATCTCTACTGGCGGTCCAAGGCCAGTGTGGTGGAAATTCCATGTTCCTATGATGAGGACGTGTCTGTCGATTCTTAGGACAACTGCTTATGTCTCTCTATGCGAGTACTCATTAAATCGACCACCAGCGGGACAATCAGATACAACGACCACAACTACGATTTTAACTTGTAACGCTCATCATTTGAGTCAAGCCACCTGCCAAAGTTTGTCCCAACTGTACATTTTATGATTGTAATTCCACCATAATTTGTTGTTCTCTTTCATGCAACCCAATTAAATGTGACAATGCATCACTTAAACACGTAGGCTTCCGCGACCAATATCATCCACAATAGAGGGTTTTTTGGGTTAGATCGCATACATATATAATTGTGTCGTTAAAACCTGCCACCACCCGACACAGCCAACTAGTAAGGGTTGTCACGTAAACAGAACATGGCCAATTCGTCACTTGTACAGAACACCAGTGTGTTGGAGACATCAATGCTGTAGCTTGGCTCTACAACACGCCGGTGTGCTGTACTAGTGACAAATTGGTATGATCTGTTTACATGACAACCCTTACTAGTTGGCTGTGTCGGATGGTGGCGGGTTTAACGACAAATTTACATATTTACACGATCTAACCCAACAAAAAACTATATTATGAATGCATCACTTGCATAGTGATATATTGAAGTAAGCACCACTAATGCTCATACAACTGTATTAATGTGATCAACAAAGCATCACATTGTATCCATAATGTTGTCTTATGGTTAGAGTTACTGTTAGTTTTAGCGCAATCCAAAGACAAAAAAAACATTACATAGAGGAAAATACTATTACCGTATACATTATATGCGGAGATCACTGTATCGTAATGGGATACTGTAGCTATCACTTAAATAAACCTCAATGAACAGGAACTAAGCTAACCATTTGTCCACATAGAAATAATTGTATATTGGTTAGGACACGCATTATATAAAGGTTTTGCAAACAAATTGATACCTTACACAGCAATGTCACGTGCAAGACTACCCATGGTTTCTCTACCAATTCTTCCCTTGTGGATATGTTTCCAGCAGAAATTTCCAATGCAATATGTCCCTGCGAATGCACATGTTTTAGATGACAGACCTCTGAGAATTAATGAAAGAAGGCCACGGGGGTAGGAAGGGGGCACGGTTCACGAGAAAAATAGCACGGCAGAAGCACTGCAAAGACCCCCCGTGTAGCCTTGAAAGACTTTCGGGGCAAGTGCTGCTAGCAAGCACTGTGTGAAGGCCAGCATGGCACACGGAGCGGGTGCGTGGCCAGCGCCACGTCCAGCCGCCTTTGTCTTCCCAGTGGCGATGTAAACTATACCAGGTACTCGTTTGAGGCAGAGTCGACCTAGGGGAGGCCCAGGACCGGTGCAGATAATCGTCACCGGTGTTGGCCGTGAGCGGGAATCGAACTCGTGTCACCGGGTTTCGTAGCACAGCGTAGCGCTAACCGCTACACCACTGCTCACCGCAAACACTGTCACATGCAACCCCCACCATCCACAGACTATAAAACAACGGACGAATCAACGGGTTGCCATCACATGCACATATTTAAAACACACTGTGTTTTTGGCTGGTACACAGGCTCCCCTCTGCAACCCAAAGGGCCTCGCAACCTCAAACACATCAAGCTTTTGAATAAACATCGCCAATGTGTATTCTTCTCCTCCCTCAAGCTACCTCCTGGGCAAGCGTGAGCTGGCAAAAATAAAACTCAGGCCCGGTATAAATATATATTATTTTTAATTCATTGGCAAATATTGTACCTGAACAAACATTAAAGGGCTAGAGAAAATTATGAATTTAAATTAAAAGTAGAGTATGCCCTCATGACAGACGTGGCTTTCTGTGCCAATACTTCCTCCAATGTGCTTTACATGTGCGGCAGAGATTGTTTACTGCTGTGGCATGCACACGCATGTTTACATGCTTGTCGTCGTGTGTATTCATGCTTCCCTGGAGAGCTGTGGTGTCGTGGTTAGTGCCCTGGGCGACAAAGCCAAAGACCGGAGTTTAATTCCCACTAACAGCCAATGTCAGTGGCAAATATGTGAACTGGTCCTGCGACTCCCCTACATCGACTTAGCCTTACAATAGTACCTGGTGTAGTGTGTAAACATGCGAACAGGGTAGACACAGGTGGCCTAGTCTGGTAGGTGCCCTCTAAAAGCACTTGCCCCAACAGCCTATGCAGACTATATGTTGGGCGCCCTTTATATATGTGTGCAGCGTTGTGTTAATGCCATTGCACTCAAAATAATAGAAACATTGAGTAGGCTGTAAATAATCGTTCCAAGTGGAATCATTTTTGTATGTGGGCTAATCTCGCAAAGCGATTAAATGCCGTGGATGGTGCTTTGCATGTGTAAATTGGGTCAAGGTATTTCATGCGAGTGAGTGCAGACGCTTCAATGCTCTTTGAAAACAAAAACAAAAAATCTGTAATGTCGTGACTGTGTAACGACAACAAAAATCCAGAACCACATGACATAACATGCGCAGTGGTTGCACTGGATGTAAAATACTTTGCGTGAAATAGAATTAAAGATAAACTTTAATTTCTACCACTGGAATGCAAGATTCTGTGCATAAACGGGAAGCCAAAGCACACGGAGAACATACTAAAAAAATACAGACTAAAACAATACATATTGACATTCTAAAATATATAATCCCACCAGCCAGTCAAGATGAGGTTGTCCCAAATTCATATTCATTATATGACAGTGACATCGAATTGATGCTACGAGTGGCTTACTTTTAAGAACACATTATCCGCTCAATTTGAAAGTATCTCACAAATGAGAAACTTCACGCTGCGGTTGTTTTGGTGATTGCAAAAACACACACCCACATATCACTTAATAAGATTATAAAAAAAAAAATCACAATGTTGTATAAATAACACAAACTACTTGATGTAAAGCTTTCGTGACTGCAGTAATTCATATTCTTAGCGCTTTCGGTAAAGTCACGTTGAAGGGAAACAATAATATAATAAAATATATATAACTATAAAAATTATCACGACGTTTCGACCATAACACAAACGGTTTGTGTTACGACGTTTCGACCATAACACAAACGGTTTGTGTTATGGTCGAAACGTCGTGAGAATTTTTACTGTTTTATATATATTTTATTATTTTATTGTTTCCCTTCAACGTGACTTTACCGAAAGAGCTAAGAATACAAGCTACTTGTCATTTAGTTTCCAAGTGTTGCCGTTACCAAAGGCTTGCCAAATATAGATTTGCGATATTTCATATATATTCCACAGCGGTCAACATATGAAAGGGGTAGAAATATGAATTAGAACAAGGGGGTAGCAATCAATTTTGATGGCGAGCAAGACGCACGCACACTGAGGCCATTGCGAAGCAAAACAATAATAATTCATTCATAGCGCACATATCAAACAATCGATAACAAAGCCAAAACTAACCATTCACAATATGTATTAAAATCCGTACACAGCGCACACACACACGCACAGTGAACGCTAACAAAGACGTGCAAAAAATTGCTTCACTGCATTATTCTCGGTGTTTTTTCTTCTGAATCCAGGCAGCCTCTAAAGCACAACTCGAATAAATAGCAATGAAGGTGACAATGAGCTCGCGGGATGACGAGGAGCCTGTTTTATTGTGTGCCCTCAAAAACAGCAGTCGTAAGCGACGTAATGAATAGCGAGAAGCATTGCGCTGGGGCATCGGTGCGAAGCTTCGGGCTAAGCTTTCCCGCAGCGGTGGACAGAGAATGCTCTAAGGGCTCTCACTTGCAAAGCGAAGCTCTGCTCATCTTGTTCAAGCCAATTCATCGCGCGACCGGACATTTATTTATTCTTCAATGTATCTCTTTCACGTTTCTTTAGCGGCACCGTCCCCCTTCTTGCGACAATGAGTTTAAAACACACAGAATCGGTTCAAGGATAAAACACAAATGTTAGTTATATATGTTTAACACGTAAGCTTTCGCGACCAATTACATGCATAATAGAGGTTTTTGGGTTAGATCGTGTAAAAATATAAATGTGTCGTTAAACCCGCCACCACCCGACACAGCCAACTAGTAAGGGTTGTCACGTAAACAGAACGTGGCCAATTCGTCACTGGTACAGCACACCGGTGTGTTGGAGAGCCAAGCCACGACTGAGTACTCAGATTGTAAATGTTGTGGGCTTGGCTCTCCAACCCACCGGTGTGCTGTACTAGTGACGAATTGGCCACGTTCTGTTTACGTGACAACCCTTACTAGTTGGCTGTGTCGGGTGGTGGCGGGTTTTAACGACACATTTATACCTCTATCATGGATAGCTATTTATGGATAAACAAAAGGAGGAGTG